TTCTTTCCCTCTCTCTCCCTCTTTTATTTCTCTCTTTCTTTCTTTCTTTCTTTCTTTCTCTCTCCCTCTTGCTTCTTCATGGTGTACAGAATTTGTCCACAAAGAATTAATCAATCTTCAGTGCAATGTATGGAAAAAAGTGATTCAACACTGATCACCCTCTACATCCGATACTCACCTCTTCCTCCTCTGCCTGAATGGAACTACATATTCCCTAGGTTCCCAGTAGTGATGCAGCTGTTTACAGGCAGAGGAATCATCTTCCATACATAAACAAGATCAAATTGGTTTCCAAGTCCACCCTGTGGAGTGATTTGTTCTTCTTCTAGTAACCTCATTGTTCTGTTCTTTTTCCAGCTGGATGTTGGGTGTATATTCAGGCAGCTCAGGCCATAAACATTCCAAGCAAGCTTAATCACAGCAGAGCCGTTCCTTGCTACTACTGCACATGATCAGCGTTTTGTTGATTGCACTCATCCCCCATCAGAGGGCATGTGCAGTGGCAGCATAGACAGCGACAGACAGAATGATTGTCCTTTGAGCTGCAGCCGTAAATGACAGGCATGGCAAAAGAACAGGCAGGATGGTGTTATTGGATTGATGTAGTGTAAAAAGCAATGTGGGCTCCATCCCCCTCCCAGATTGCACACATGGAAGATGCCTATAAGAATCTGCCTGGATTCACAGTTAAAAAGTCAAGGCAGTAGAATAATGAGAGAACCAGGGCACCCTGGGATAGAAATATAGAAATAGGTTCTGAGGTGCGCATAGCATTCCACAGGGAATGTTGGGTATGTTATCATTGCATGTAGAAATTGGAGTGGCTTAAAAGAAGATGATGAAACAAAACCTGTGTCTATTTCCAGTATACACTGCACACATATGCCACAGTCCTGGTACCCACAAAATACTGCTAATAGTGGAGAAGAAATGGAGAAGAAATGCCCTGTCAACAGTGTGCAGGGTAAATGTCCCTGTGTCAGTGTCAGTGGGAGGTAAAAACAGGTAGGGGGATGCTGATGGTGGAGAAAAACAGTACTGGGAAGGGAGGGTTTGGGTAGTGATGGTGGGGATTGGCAATACAGAAAGGGCAGTTGATGGTTGGAGGAACCAGTATAGTTGGGAGAGCAGTTGATGGTGGGGAAAGGTAGCACAGAGGGGGGGGAGTTGATGGTGGGGACCGGACAACACAGAGGGGCAGTTGATGGGTGGGGACAAAGGGGGCAGTTGATGGTGGGGACAGACAGTACAAAGGGGGGGGGGGCAGGTGATAGTAGGAACATGGAGAACAAGGGGAAGGGCAGTTCATGGTAGGGACAGAATGGATGCTTGATGGTAGGAACTTGCAGCACAGAGGAGGGTATTTGATAGTGGGGACAGGCAGCACAGAGAGGGAAAGTTGATGGTGGGGACCAAACACAGCAAAGAGTGGGAAGTTAATGATGGAGACAGGCAGTACAAATCAGGGAACAGGCAGTAAAAACCACAAGGGGGCAAGTGATGGTGGAAACAGGAGTAAAATTTGAGAGGGGAAGTTGGGTAAGAAGAGAGGGGCTGCTTGATGATGAGACTTGCAGCACAGAAGGGGGACATTGATGATGAGGTCAGACATCACAGAGGGGGGCAGTTGATGGTGGAGACAGACATTACAAAGGGGGGGGGGGGAGGTCAACTGATTGTTGTGGACTGGGAGTACAAGAGGGGCAGTTAATGGTTGAGGACAGGCAGTACAGAGATGGTTGTAGATGATGGAGAACAGGCAGTACAGAAGAGGAAGCAGTACACACAGGTTCTAGGCTCTATGATTATTTTGCCTACCCCTGCTGTGCCCTTGCACTGACTATGTGCTTGAGCTGTACTTCCAGGATTGGGAAGCTGCTCTTTCTTCTGCCTTGGTTCGCGTGGGTCCATGGTGACACTAGGGTCTCAACATCCACATTCAACATTTCAGATTTTTCCCCTCTCTCCTCTCCCAGCTACTGTATGTTGTCCAATCAAGCATCAGTGAGGGACAAAGTGAGGGGGATCTAGAATCTTAAATGCTTTGCTGAGACTGAGCAGATACTGAACCTTAATGGTGCCGCCATGCAGGGCTACATTTGGGGACATGGGCTACAACTAGGGACTCATCTAGGCACACTTTCTATCTGGATCTGAAAACTGAAGCACCAAACCAAATTAGATTTTATTTCAAAAGTTTAGAAAGATGTTACAACCAACGCATCTTGTCTCTTTCCTTGACAATGTGTGGCACTTGAAAAACATTGATTGAAGCGTACATTTTTAAAAAAAATGTTTTTATACAGATTAGTTTGCTTGTATAGATTAATGTAGGTTATATGTGGTTACATGAATCTCTGACCCAATAATGTCTATTCACAGGTTTTTTTTCCAGAATCGGTGAAGGAACTCCCCCTCTGCGAGTCACCCCTTGTCTCCATTCCCTACCTACCTTCGAGAGCATCATCCTTAGGTTCCACTGCCTACCCACCTACCAGTTACCACCCCTTTTAGTGAATACAGAACCAAGTATCATTTTGTGGTGTTAAGCAATTTTATGGAATTTACTAAAGAAAACATAAAGCAGTAAGTTACCCTGCTGCCAGCAACAAAAGAATCCCCAGCAACAACAAGACCTACTCCAACAACAATAACTTACCCCCATCATCAACAACAGATCTCCCAGCAGCCAGAAAAAACAAACCCCTCCCAGCAACAATTCACCCTTCAGCAATAATAGACTCTTCCCTCATCAAGAGATCCAACCAGAAACAATAGATCCCCCAGCAGCCAGCATCAATAGACTTTCCAGCACTCCTTGCCATTACATACATTCAGTGCTGGAGATGTGCCGTAACTGCATTCCCCCCCACGTTCCCACTGAAAAAAAGCCCTAACTTGGTGAGTATGTTGTTCTCTTGTGACAGACCATAATACAAGACAATTTTCAAAAAGATGCCTGATTGCAAACAAGATCGGCAAAATGTTAAACTAAATTTATAAAAGGATGATAAGGAATTGGCTTTAGCTCAGTTTTTCCACCCGTAGAAGAACTCCCAGTGCATTTCGCCCATGTGAGGGTCCCCCCTCCCAAAAATTAAAACTCAGCAGATACAAATATTGTAGCTGCTGACTTTCTCCATCTTGACTAAGGGAAACCATCAGTGAAGCCTTGAGACTTCACAGCCGGTTTCCCCACTGTGCATGCGCCAATATCGCTGCGCTTTGTGAATGAGCCGCAGTCTTATGAGAAACTGTGAAATGTAAATCCAGAGGGCTGCGGGAAAACTAGGTACCTGCTCCCCCCCAATAGGTACCAAATGTGTCCAATGTTGGTGGGACTCCACTTTAATCATAGAGGCCTCTATAATTAATCCCTACATGGGCAAAATGCATTGAGTGGGGTTCTTCTATGGGTGGAGAACTGAGCTGAAGCCAATTCTTATCATCCTTTATTAATTTTGCTTCACAGTTTGCCAATCCTGTGTGCTGCGCAAATTTTGTTGTGGTCTTAGCTGAGCCTGATGAACCTTACATCCCGACCAGCACCAGCATACCATGTTACAAGCCACAGGATTTAACTTCTGGAACATTAAAGGGATGCAATTTTTTTTAGTTTAGTCTACAATTCTCTCCCTGCTGCATACTTGGCTCACTTTGCTCTATAATAATTATTAAAGAGGCTTAATCTGCACTGTCCAGTGCACTATGTTCAGGTTATCATTCCATGTATATTCGGTCCTTGGAGATATATACAGAGCTAGCAAGGTTGTACAGCACCTGCTTGGAACCATTGTATTGCAACACATTTGAAGATTTTAAAATGACAAATGAACCCACCCTAAACCAGGGAATACCCTGAATATTGTTGAATATTGTGCAAAGAGTAAAATGAGCAATTTTTGGGTGTATGTCAGATCAGACCTACATTTACTAAATGTTAAATAGTATATTAACACTGAGTAATACATAGAATAAAAGTACAGTAAAACTTTTCTCCCAAGAAATGTTGTGGACAATCACAGGTAACGCAATTTTTTAAGCATCAAATGTTGGAAGAAAATAGTGTGAAATTCAATCTTGGCCCAAAACTGGGCAACTGTTTGTTGAATCATGTCATTGAATTGAATGATGTCAATAATGTCATCATGTCATTGATAAATAGTAGACATGTGCGTTTCGTTTTGTTTTCGAATGTATGCAAATCTCTGAATGTGTATAGTAACGAATGTCAAGGAATCCAAAACAAAAATATAATGAAATTAATGAATGCTTTTGTTCCATTAAAGTATTGTCACATGATGTAATAGTACTGTAGTTCAGGCCCATGGGGAAATGAATTCAATTTTTTCGAACTTGTTCCTTAATTCGGATTTGAATAATGAATGGATCTGAATTTCGTTCCAATCATTAATTCAGATCCACATGTTGCCAGTTAATATTGTCCAAACAGCTCATGTCTTTTCTTGGTGGGATGGACTAGTGCCCAAAAATATTGAATCTGTCCAATTCAAATCCCTCTGATTCGATATTATAGTGAAAATATATCAATCTTCTGTAAAAACTGCATATTTTTTTTCAAATACACAAATATAAGAATCGAATGCTGAAGATACCAAAAGAATTCTGAAGCAAATTGGTTCAACAAAACGAATATGACAAAACTAAACTGTTCAATGAATGAATGTATCCAAAACAAAATGAAAAATTGACCTCTCTTTCCCTTTATTTTACTAGATTGTACAGACTAAATAAAAATATGGATTCTTCTGCCACTGAAAAACTGAGGGAGGAGGTAATGGATGCTTTATACATAGAGGAAATCCAGCCGAAGCCTTTTTGATAAAGTCAAGAAATGTTTGGATGACTTGGATAACACCCCTCTAAACATAGCAATTACTGGAGAATCGGGGTCAGGAAAATCCACTTTCATCAATGCCATCCGTGGTATAGGTGATGAAGAACTGGTAACTGCTAAAACTGGTGTGGTGGAGACTACTATGGTGGCAAATTCTTACTGCCATCCTAAGTATAAGAGTGTAACCTTTTGGGATCTTCCTGGAATTGGAAGCCCTAATTTTAAAGCCAGTGAATATTTAAATGAATTCAATTTTCAGCATTATGACTTTTTCGTTATAATGGCATCTGAAAGATTCAAAGAGAATCACATTATGCTGGCTGAGAGTATCCACAGCTTGAATAAAAAATTCTACTTTGTGAGATCAAAAGTTGACAGGGACGTATATGAGAGCCAAAGTCGTAGACCTAAACATTTCAATGAAAAAAACATGTTGCTTTCCATCAGGGAGATTTGTGTTAATTCTCTCAAGAGAGCAGTAAGTCTAGACCCTTATGTCTTTCTTGTATCGTCTTTCCAACCACAAGACTTTGATTTCTCTCTTTTGCTGAAAACGTTTGAGGAGCAGCTTCCAAGTCACAAGCGTTACGTTTATCTACGTGCCTTGCCTAACATTTCCTCTGAGGCAATTTGCATGAAAGTGCAAGCTCTAACAACTGCAGTCCCTTGATCACATTGGAGTCATTATAGGTTCCATTATCCCTGGGTATTGGGCAATACCATGAGTGTTTAACCTTAACAAGCTATATTAGAGAATATGTAGAAAGTTTTGGTCTTGATGATAAATCTTTAGATGATTTGGCACAAAGGTCTGGTAAAAGTGCTGATTATTTGAAAAGTTTAGTGAAGTCCCCATTTGTCAAACATGAGATCACTTATGATCTTGTGTGGAATGAGGTGAGGAGAAAGAATAGCACTGCATTTTATGACCAGTAAAGCTTTTATCAGTTGGTTTCCAGTGCTAAGTCTTGTTGCTGGTACCATGTCTGCTGTGACATGTTCTGAATTTCTGTTTTCTGCAATGAGTGAGCTTGCAGAAGATGCTAAAACCATTCTTGAAGTGGCTTTTGGTTGTTCAGATGATTGATATACATTGCTTAGTTAAGATGAACTCCAGGTATGTTTGTTTGTATATTTAGCCCAATGACCAATGTATATAGTGACACAGTACAATAACAATACAGTGCGATATGTGTGCCCTTTCATTGGAGCCAATTAGGAGGAGGGAGTTTTACAGGAGGAAAAGCTGGTAGGAAAATTTGCTTTTTGGACTGAAGAGGTGGGGTTTTTAGGGTGCTCCTGAGAGTATATATGAATCTCTAGGAATGGACACGAGCAACGAGAAGTCCTAGAATGGGAGGATAAAAAAAAGAGTAGGAGGTCTTGTTATAACATTCCAATTAGTTTTCTAACAAATGACATTTGATTTCATTCATGATGCAACGTCAATCATCAAAAAAAAAATGCGATAGTATTGGTTTGCACCCATGGGGAAATTGAATTCAATTTTCAAAATAGTTTGATAATTCAGATTCGGATAATGAATGGATCCGAATTTCATTCCATTTGTTAATTCGGATGCACATGATGCTAGTTGATATTCTCCAATCAATTTCATGTCATTCTCTGGGTGGGTTCAACTAGTGTCTGAAAAAAATCCATCTGATTTGATAATATATATAACAATCTTCCAGAAAAATTGCAATTATTTTCAAATCCACCCTGGCCAACAAATATATGAAATGAATGCTGAAGATAAAAAATGAATTCCGGAAAAAAAAATTGGGCCAACATAACAAAATATGATGACAATAAATGTGAAATGAAATAAAAATGATCTGCATGCACATTTAATATTAGTCCTAATTTAGTCTCTATTTCTTCAGTTATGAAGAATTGGTTAAATTAATGAATTGTGAATATAACAAATTCAAATAATTGACCATTGCAGTGAAAGTGGTGGGGGTGCCCTATGCAATGGTCATATATTTATTTTGTTTGTTTGTTTATTTATTGTGCACAGAGTTGAGCTATATAGACCCTATCCCTATAACTTAACTTTACTGGAATTTAAAACATTATTTTTTATATGTTTAAATCTGAAGCTTTCATTAATATAATTTCTGGTGACCCTGCCATGAAGGTGCTTGTTCAGACGCTCCTGTTATAGGCCGAAACGCTGTCCTTGTCTCCCAATCATATTTTTGCATTGTATAAAAGCATCTGTACAGAGGCTGCAGGAGATTAATTAAAAATTATTACCAAAAAAAGGTGAAAATAACTTTGCTTAAAAAAACCTTAAAAAGATAACAATTGTTTATAATACACAAGGCGGTAGCAAACCAAATGTCATTAATTTTGAGTTTACCCAAACTTTAACTTTCTGTCTTCTGCCCAATCCCTGTGGATGGATATGTACCATGTTATCGGATATGTAGTATGTTATCATAGCTGGGGTGGACAGCGATATTACTCTGTGTGACATGTATTCTATATATTTGCTTGCTCATATTGGTGAAATACATTATACATTACACAAGTGCATGAAGAATGTTTATAAGCTTGAGAACTGAGCATATAACTAAAAATTAAAATGGTGCCTTTGTGATGTGTTTATTTTATAAATAGGCCCATAAATAAATAAAGATTAAACATTGATAAAGGATGGTTGTTTTATTTTTTTTATACCCCCCCCCCCCCCATTTTACAAAGGGTAAAAAGCTATTGGACAGTTGACTGACATTCTGTTCCATGATCAGGTGTGGGCAGTATTCCTCGTTACTTCTATAGAAATTAAAGCCCAAGTCCATCTTTTACACTGCAGCACATATCACTCACATATTCTCCAACCGCCACTGGATCTACCTGAGATGCAACTTCTTACCAACATCAGTGGTGAGACACTGGAACTCAGTGTCAGCCTATTTAATCTGCTTCTACTCCTTAATCATTTCTAATCTGCCATGCAAATGTGCCTCTAGCTACCTATGGGTCTTCAGATGCCTGGCATAGCTCTATACCATACTGTTTACTGAACTCTGAACTAAGCTCAGTGGATTGCTTTTAAAAAAAGTCCTGGATTCTTTCTTAGATACACAGAATATAACTGGATACTAACATTTATAGGTAAAGTTGATCCAGGGAATATCTGATTGCCTCTCGGGGGGATCAGGAAGGAATATTTTTCCCTGCAGGAGCAAATTGAATCATATTTTGCTGGGGTTTTTTGCCTTCCTCTGGATCAACTGTGGGTATAGGATTATAACTTTTTTTTTTAATGGTTGGACTGGATGAACTTTTGTCTTTTTTCAGCCAAACTAACTATGTAACTATGTAAAGATAGCTGGAAAATCCCAGACCAGATGGGACAGTAGTTAAATAATGTAAAAGGAGCTGAATATACAGTAAACTCTATTTTAATAAAGGGTTT